AGAGGACGTGAAACTTTGATGAATTTACCTCAGAGTCGCGTGTTAATGCGTGCGCATATTTTTAACGTGAATTAAAAATGGCGTCCACCCCGCAGAGAATGCGTCGCTACCCGTTGCCAGGGGCAACCGCCGTCCAATGAAACTGCGTATGGTCCGGCGACACACAGACACACACACAGACAGACAGACAGATTTGCGATTTTATATATATAGATATTAAGTTCACTTGCTTGCTTGCTTGCGCGCTTACGACCGTGCAAATCTTTCGGTCGTTTTTTAACCCACTTCCCGTGATCCAATCGAGCTGACATTTTGCACACAGACTCGTTGTGCGTGACAATTTATTTTCGTGAAATTTTTTTTTCAAAATTTTACACTTTTTAGAGAATTTTTTAAAATATTTAATTATCAATTGCTTAATGGTGGCAGGCAATCATCTGACCCATAGGTGGCAGCCATCTCAAGCCAGAGGACGAGAGGACTCTAGTCGCCCGTTTCAAATACCAATGTGATAAAAATTAAACTCTTACTCTAGAAAAACAGAAATAAATAATAAAATAAAACCGATGCCACGCATATAAAGGATTTATAGTGAAAAACTTTGTTTTTACGGGTTATTTTTTTTTGTGTTTTTGTTGCTCAAGGTTGCGCGAGTGAGTCTCGGTATCGTCGGTGTGTTTGCGTATATACAACCGGTCACTATTTTGGTGGTGGGGGGGAGGGGAGGGGGTTCTTGCCTTGTCTCGGATTTAACTTGTTTTTTTAGAGTCAGGATTCTCTCTATTCGGCAGTGCAGCAAAAGCCGCGGCTTTGTTGTACTATACTCCCACGTGCAATGCTGCCCATGCCCTTCACCAGCTGGTCAAATAACCCCAGTGACCTGCATGGAAATGGGGAAGCCGTCATCCAGCAGTGGAGCGACGAAAGGGCCGTACGTGTGAATGCGCACTGACGATAGGGTTTTAATATGTACCCGTGCTATTTTTGAGTGTTCAGCATAAGCAGATTGGGATTTTTTTTGAGACCGACTTTGCTCAGTGTGTCAAGCCAGTCAACCTCCGGGTCGTAATATTTGGGAGCTAAAATAGTAAAATGTAGATTTTAAGTTTTTTTTTTATAATTTGTGCCAAATTCTTGCTTGCTATCACTTAGAGAGCATCATTAGACTTTACAGCTACAATATGTCAGTTGTTAATCTGCATCTACATCAGCCAAATGAAAGAAAAATATTAGAATTTACACTCGTCACTCAGTCACGGTCATCTTTACGTATATAAAATATGTAATGATATAGATGTGCACGAGTAACTTAGAGGCATTTTGTCAATCCAATTCTGTCTGAAGTCCTCCCGTGCCACGCTGTTTGTATGGGGTTGTTTGACCATACTTCACCATGCTGTGAAGCGGTGGTAGGGAGGGGTGCAAAAACGGTTCAGATATCACTCAGAATCAGAATATTTATTTCTACCGGAGAAATCCGATGAGCTATAAAGCTCTTTTTCACAAATGTCCAGTAGGGGCGGGTAAGAACGTGACAAAAACAAACAGTACCAACACATGATAGGAGTGCAAGGTTGAGGCAAGGTAACCAAATCACACCAAAAACACAAATAAAATTAAGCAATTTTTATTTTACCAGGTAAAGCACACTGAACTTTTAGCTACTTTTTCAGACGCAACCTGGCCACAAAGTATAGTTCAAAGAAGTGGCTTATCGTGTGGAGTGCACGGATCACTACATCACCATTCCACTATCAAATAATAATAATGAATATAACTTTATATTTCGAGGAACAAATCGGTCTATCCTTTGCCTCCAGGGTCATTAAAGTTAATCCGACTTTGTGAGTCGTTACGCTTTGGTAAGGGTTTCAGCACGATTGTCTTGTGTACACATTTTCCCTATCTTGTAACAATGTGGAATTTCGATGCTAGACTTAGGACCCTAGGAATTTATGTTTGAAAGTGTATGTATGTTGAACTTCTTTCGCACCGTACGTAGCCAACCGTGCTAATCGGAGGTGCGGGGGAATGACAACAAACTAACACAAAAAGCAGTTCTACATAAATTCGTTTTCAATCTCAATTTAAACGTGCATAGCTCCAGTGGCTTCCTATTAAGGCCGGCACGGTTTACGAATGGCTGATATAGTTTCCCTGTCTCCCGAGTGCTGATGTGTACACACACACACTACACATCAGACGATGTCAATGACTGCCTTACCCTCCAACATGTAACTAACTTGGCATCCTAATTTTTGCCAGGCAAAAGCTGCAGGAAGGTGTGGGGGAAGGACAACCAATGAAACACAAAAGCAGTTTTAAAGAAATTAGTTTTCAAAGTGTGCCTACTTGGAACTGCCAAGGTGTTATTGCTTGGTTGATTATTGACAAGTTATGGAGTGTAATATTCTTCAAGGTTACACGGACATGCACATTCAGAATGGCAATGTCAAACAATGTGCCCTCCTGCAAATTGCATTTTTCTTAAATGTTTCAGTTATTAATGAGGAGTAGTAGCCACGGCAAAATCGTTTAGTTCAACGCACTATGGACCTGGTGACCCGGAGTTCGATTCCCAGCCACGGCTAACGTCAGTGGCGAGCGGTGTCTGAACAGTTTCCTGGAGTGTTCCCCAAATTCACAAACCTGCGCGGACCGTCGAGGTGAAGTATGGTCAAACATATTCTTAGATTTTTTCGGTAAAGTCACGTAGGTAAAACATTACAATTAATAAAAGTAAAATAAAATAAAAAATCACGACGTTTCGGAGGCAACACAAGCTTCCGTCTTCAGGTGTTGCCTCCGAAACGTCGTGATTTTTATTTTATTTTACTTTTATTAATTTTAATGTTTTACCTACGTGACTTTACCGAAAAAACCTAAGAATATGAATCCTTGCAGTCACGAAAGCTTCAAATCTAGAATATGGTCAAACAACCTCCGTGAGCGACACGGCATGGGGAGGCCCTTCATGCCTTTGGTGGATTTCATACTTTTTATACTTTTAGTCAACATAACAAATATTATCTTCCAAGCTGTCACTCGATATTTATTTCGGAACACTGTCTCAGCTGTTTCGGAGTAGGGATTATCAGCGTAAGGCACTGTCACTAGAGTACATAACAATCCTATATTCTTGTACCCGATCTGAATAAAGCACTATTGGGGCACGTGTTTGGTCACTACCGCACACAAAACCACAGTTCTGTATCACCAGGACAACATAAGTCGAGATGAATGTGGCGTACCAGAATAATAATTCCCGGAACAGCAATCCAGACTGTTCCGGCTAAAATTAAGCACTGGCATTATCCCCTCTACACGAGATTGCGTCATCACGCAGACGTGACATTTTGACCTGTATTCTAAAGCACAACTCATTGTGTTATCATAGTCGACTCGTTCGTGTTGTGACTGTAAACAATGGGCATGTACGCGGCGCTTTGTCTGCTAAATCAAACTCTTAATTCGTACCCACTGTTTATTCATACCGCAAACACGGGGGTGCATTGCTGGGACTCTTGGCTGTTAAACTGTTTTTATTCTACCAGGTAGAGGCCCACTGAGCTACATAGCTCTTTTTTCATAAGCGAACTGGCCACAAAGCTCAACGAAGTGGCTTATCATGTGGAGATTTATAGAAGCCAAACACTGTTAAACGCGTGGTGCTTCTAAATGTGCAGAGAATAACCGGAGGATCCGGAGAAAAATTCACGCGACCACGGAGAGAACATGCAAACTCCAAATATACAGCAGCAGGCGTCAGACTCGACGTGGAACCCACTACCTCCTGCACACCAGACGAGGCAGATAACATCTCGCCACCGCAGGCCTTGTTGAAGCCACAATAGCCAGGTTTGTGGTTTAAACAGAGAAATAAGGAGACGCGCTCCAATGTCAAATGCTACTGGACATCTGTAATAAGTATAACCCGTAAAAACAAAGTTTTCCACTATAAATCCTTTATATGCGTGGCGGCTAGAGTCCTCTCGTCCTCTGGCTTGAGATGGCTGCCACCTATGGGTCAGATAATTGCATTGCACCATTAAGCAATTGGTAATTAAATATAATATTTTTGTCCTAAAAGTGTAAAAAAAATGTTAAAACATTTTCACGAACATAAATTGTCACGCACAACGAGTCTGTGTGGAAAATGTCAGCTCGATTGGATCACGGGAAGTGGGTTAAAAAACGACCGAAAAATTTGCACGGTCCTAAGCAAGCAAGCGAAATTAATATAAAGGATTTAAAAAAGAAGCTTCATAGCTCATCGGATTCCTCCAGTATGAATAAATATTCTGATTCTGAAATGCGGTACGCACACGGGGATCCCTTGCCGTTGATTCCCGTAAGCTACGAACATTGCCTGACGATGGACACCACGGGGCAACAGAGAAACCTGAGCGACCCACGACCACCCGATGTCAGGCCGTGAAGGACGAGCTGGCAGCAGCGATCGACCTCTGCTGGGGCGAAGCTCGGCGCAATGTTGCCAAGGACAGGAAGAAGAAGTGGAGGGAACTCAATCTAGATTTGAAGTTTTCGTGACTGCAGGGATCCATACTCTTTGGTTCTTTCGGTAAAGTCACGTAGGTAGGAAAATAAAATAAATCGCGACGTTTCGATCGCAACACAAGCGGTCGTCCTCAGGCGGAAAAAATATATAATCCAGCAGTGGAAAAAATATATAATCCATCAGTGGATAAAATATAAAATCCAGCAGTGGAAAAAATATAAAATTCAGCAGTGGAAAAAATATAAAATTCAGCAGTGGAACTGCTGAACGGGACGACCGCTTGTGTTGCGATCGAAACATCGCGATGTTTTTTTATTTCATAGCTACGTGACTTTACCGAAAGAACCAAAGAGTATGGAGGGAACTCATTGCGGCCCCATGTCCCGTAGGGGATGAAGAGGATGAACTCACTCGCTACGAGGTTTCACCGTTCCAGGGATACTTCTGCTGACAATGAACCCTCCCCCCCGTCATGTCGCAGCGTGCCTACGCGTGGCCAAGAGCCTGCTGATGAAGACGGGCGAGGACTGGTGGTTCCTCTTCGCGCTTGGGATGCTCATGGCTCTCATCAGCTTCACCATGGACTTCACGTCGGCAAAGCTGCAGAAAGGTGACTCTGTGACGGCGGCCCTGTTTCACTCGTTTCAGGGCACAGCTGGGTGGGTGGGTGGATTTGTTAAAGGTGACTGCTGCGGCTCGCGCAGGCCTTCATCCAGCAGTGGATTGACCCTGGCTGATGGCGATGATGGTGAGCGATTATGCACATAAAGGGGCCGTCCGTAAATTGCGTCACGCACCTGGGGGTGGGGGGGGGGTGTCGACATTTGTGACGATGTGTGACGAGGGGGGGGGGGGGTTGAGAAATGTGACGTCACATCAAAATTCGCAACTTTAAATAAATATAAACACGTTCTACTTAATGAAATAGACTTTTTTATATAAATGTTTTCTCCTACAACATCAGAGTGCAGCGCCACATTAAATACGCACTACAATGACAATAGTTTAAAGCGATTTGAAGCATGTTTTTTTTTTTGGGGGGGGGGAGCTTTGTGACATCATATTGAAGGGGGGATCTGACTTTTTGTGACGCCGTGTGACGAGGGGGGGGGGGGGTCAAAAATCGTCCAAAATCGCGTGACGTCATTTATGGACGGCCCCATAACACACGCAGTGCAGGGGATTGCACTAGAGGGTGCTGGAGGACCTCGGAGCAATTGACTGCTGCGCTGGAGATGTTTCCGCTGTCAGAACTGCATGACTAACTCTACTTGAACTAAACTATCAAAAAATAGTTTTATTTAATTTTAGCAGGTATGACCGACGGAGCTGTATAGCTCTGTTTTCAGAAGCGACCAGGCCACACAAGACAGCAGCCAAATACTCTAAAACAGTGGTTCTTAACCTGGGTTCGATCGAACCCCAGGGGTTCGGTGAGTCAGTCTCAGGGGTTCGGCGGAGGTTAAGACACACACCCGACTCATATGATTGTGCACCAGTAAAACATATACCTATGTTTTGAATTTGAAAAAATATTTTATTTTTCCAATTAAGAAGGGTTCGGCGAATGCGCATATGAAACTGGTGGGGTTCAGTACCTCCAAAAAGGTTAAGAACCATTGCTCTAAAAGCATACTCTTTGAGTCTTTCGGTAAAGTCACGTAGATAGAAAAATAAAAGATCACGACGTTTCGATCGCAACACAGGCGAAATCGTCTTCAGCATCTTCCTAAATGTAGAGTGGGAAAACCGGAGGACCCGGAGACAAATCCACGGCACCACGTGGAGAGAGACACGCACACTCCACATATACAGCAGCAGGCGCCCAGGGTTGGGATCGAACCCACGCACCTCCTGCACACCGCGCGAGCGAGTTAACATCTCACAGCCACCTCCTAGACAACTTGACGTTCGCGTGGCAGAGCCGTTGCGTGCGCTCGACCTTCTAACGCAAGGGTCGGGAACCTTTTTGACTGGGAGAGCCATAAAAGCCAAATATTTCTAAATATAATGCATTGAGAGCCATATAGTATTTTTAACGTATAATAAATTAAATGTCTTACTTTTAATGCGACTTCTGGTGCTACATGGTTTTACTGATGGCCTTGTAGTCTGGTTCATACGTGGTGAGGTTGAGCTTCGTGCAGGCGTTGAGGCCCCGTGACCCGTGAAATTTATCTTCAAAACTAATTTCTGTTTACTTAAAAATGACACAGTATTATTAAGCAATATCACAAGTATTTTTAAATCAGTTCCAAACTGATTTTTTATTTTATTTTTTTCAACTCAAAATTGTCTGGGAGCCATATGCCGTCACCGAAAGAGCCATATATGGCTCGCGAGCCATAGGTTCTCGACCGCTGTTCTAACGCGTCCTTTTTCCCGTCGATCGTTGTCGCTGCCGGCGCAGTGCACCGCATGCTCTTTGACGAGCTGCAGGACCACCGGCTGTTGCAGTGGGTGGCCTGGGTCTCCTTCCCGATGGCCCTGACCGCCTTCTCCACGGGCTTTGCTCAGAGCGTCTCGCCGGCCTCCGGAGGTGAGAGAACGCGCAGGGAGAGCAGCGTTATGTGCGGGTGTCTCTGTGTGCATGTACGTTGATCTCGGTCATCTCGGTCAGTCGACCCGTGGCACCTGCTGGGTCTGCCCCGTGACCTCCTACCAGCGGGCGTTCGACACTTCATGTGGTAGCCTCAAGGTGCACATGGCCTGGCACAAGCGTCGTGGTGACGTCACTGCCACTTAGTGGCGAATGGAGGTTGTTGTTGTTGTACGTTGATCTTCTTTCACCCCAACCCTGCCGATCGGAGGTGCGGCTTAAGGATCTACTAATTCTTAAGTGGCACCGTAATCGATGCTACCGTCATGCTGATATTGCCACAACTACCTCGCTAACAGCACTTGGCCCAGCAGTCCATGTAAGGCTATGCAGGGGATATTTTAATTTGATTGTATGCACCCTGCATCCTTGTTGTGGGCAGTGATCGTGTAAGTGGTTAACGCATTGTGCCCCTCGCCCAGCGACCCGAGTTCAATCCCCAGTCACGGGCTCACGGCTAACACCGGTGACGACGATCGGAAGCGGCACTGCGCCTCCTGTAGGTCAACTCAGTCTTAAGCGAGGAACTTGTGCGGTGTGTAAACCCTCACCACTGGGAGAGACACAGACGGGCGGGCATTGCGCTCATCGCAGTATCGACTCGTGCGCCACGCCGACCTTTATAGGGCGCTCGCTAACGGCACTTGCCCCAAACAGTCGTCCGTCAAGGTTCTACAAGGTGGTGGTGGCGGGATGGGGGGGGTGGTGGATCTTTGTGTTTTTTTTCTTTCTTTCCCGCGTGGTTTATTAGGCTCGGGTATCCCTGAGCTGAAGACCATCCTAGGCGGAGTGGTGCTGGAGGAGTACCTCTCCATACGCACCTTCGCCGCCAAGGTCATCGGCCTCACGTGCACCCTCAGCGCCGGCAGCACGATCTTCCTCGGCAAAGTGGTAACCCCCGGTGCTCGCGCGCGGATGAGTGCAGCCTGCAAGCCAACGTTCATCGATGACCCTTCAGTGGGATTAACCACGTGGCGACATGACCCCCCCCCGCCGCCCCCCCTACTGGCAAAATAATAAACCATAAAAAATGGTGAGATATTTTGTATTGTACCGGCTAAGGCCCCCTGAGCTACGCAGCGCTTTTTTGAAAAGCAAGCTGGCCACAAATGATCGCTCAACAAAGTGGCTTATCGTCACGTGGACATTTATATCAGCCAAATGTTCTCAACGCATCCTGATTCTAAATGGGGTGGGGGACGGACGGACCGGAGGTGCCGAAGAAAAATCCACGCGACCACGGGGAGAACACGCAAACGGCAAATCTACAGGCGTCAGGGTCGGGATCGACCCAACGACCTGCTGCATATAAGACGGGGGAGTTAGCTTCTCGCCACCGCAGTGCCCAATACAACCACAGCATCGGCAGCGCTATGCATGATGCAGCCAACTTTGATGAACTACTTGCCAATTAACTTCAGTGGGATTAACCACGTAGCAACATCGCCCCCCACCCCCCTACTGGCAGAACAATGCCCACTTGCAGACCGCTGCTGCGTACACCTTGTGCTGTGTAGGGTCAGCTGCCACTGGAGGTCGGGGGGTGGGGTCCCCTTGGTCAGACTGTAGCAGGGCATTGGAATGGTTGAGATGAGACATCGTAATAATCTCAACTTGTAATCCACCGCTCAGTGTTTACTTCGTCTCTCGGGCACGAGGAACCGCAGGAAATCGCAGCCACACAGCGAACGTGCACCAATAGTTTCCCAAGCTCCACTGTTCTCGATATGTCAAGGTGTTATCGGGTCCATGAACTGGTGTTTGCATGATGTGAGGTGCTTTGAGATGCCGATGTATCCAAGGGCCCTACGCTGTGCTCGCAAATCCTCACCCGCAACAGTGGCGATACAAAGATCAGCGTTAGAAAACTCCGAATTGTTGATCCACATTCCAGTCGGCCGTCGGAGGAATTTCCATCCGGAGCTCTCCCAGTGAGCAGTGCACAAGCTTGTGCCACGAAATGGGTACGCCCATCATTCAATGTATAAATAAGTGTCCCTCTCCAAGTTCGCGAGCACGGCATGCTTCTCTTAGTGGTGCAGTGTCCAGAGATATCAACACTTTGTAAGTCCACACTTTGTAAGTCCCTCGCACGCGTGCGGCTCTCTCTCTCTCTGGGCACCCCACTTTCCTCCCACGTGTAGCAACATTTTCTGCAATTGGAGTTGGCCAAACATCCCAATTTAGGGCCGCAGAGCTTGGGAAATTGTTGGCACCGATTCCTGACTGTCCCTTCCGGCTGGTTTGTGGATTCCCGCACCTCTGAATCTGATAGAAACTGTCAGGCGTGTTACAAATGTATGTTTTTTTGTGCTATATATTACAGTTTAACTGTTATTTTATTTCACAGGGCCCGTTTGTGCACATATCCAGCATGCTGGCCACCTTCCTTGGTCGAGTGATGACGAGAGTGGCTGGAACTTACGAGGTACATACTCCCTACTTGCCATTGCACACAAAGTGCTTGCTACAAATGAACCACAGTAACTTGTTGATCTTGTCAAGGATCTTAAACCATCACGCAAATTACGGTCATCCTTCGCAGCAGCTTTTGGCTAACCATCGATCAACGACAGTCACTGAATCGCACGCTTTCAGATGCGCTTCTGCGGCCAACTGTAATGCTCTTCCTTTTGATATTAGGAAAGCCACTGGAGCAATGCACTTTTAAATCATCTCGATTGAAAACTAATTTCTTTAGAACTGCTTGTTGGTATCTAGTTTGTTGTCCTTCCCCCGCACCTTTGATGAGCTACGTACTGTGCGAAAGAAGGTCAACATACAGGCAGCAGAGGGTAAGGGCGGCACAACTCATTGTTGGCCTGTACTATACTTCAACGCCTGTGCCTCGCATTGACCCACCAGCATGGGTCAAAAACACATTCCTGCAGAGGGAGCTGGTAGGAACGTTGGGTTGCTCGATCAATGGCCAGGGTCAACGGCGGCGTGGTGTATTCCACAAATATGCCCGACTGTGAGGGCGGGCACAAGCCGGCGTGAGTAGGTTAAACGTTGAGTTTTATAAGGGCACCACGGGGTGACCAACCCCTCCCCACCCAGCCCCACCCCTCCCACCCCTCACCCAGCCCCACCCTCCCCACCGAGCTTTTCCCCACCCTCCCCACCCTCCCCACCCTCCCCACCCAGCCCCTCCCCACCCTCCCCTCCCCACCCAACTCCTCCCTCCCCACCCAGCCCCTGTCCTGCACGATGGACGGGCACAATAATCCCTTGTGGGCTGGTGTAACCAGGAGGTTCCTACCAGTATAAAAGCCTTTCTGTCCAGCCATGAACACCAATGGCCGAAACTCAAGAGCTAAGCAGCGTTGAGCCTGGGTAGTACTTGGATGGGTTACCACTATCCATCATAGGTTGTTAAGGCAGTGCGACTGTTTATGGTGGGCAGCAGAGAACTGTGCTGCAAAGTCCATAGTTATACTGTACTCCGCTCCGATGGCTATGCCCCCCTCCCGCCCTGCGTTATCAACCAGCACAGACCAATGCGGCGAAGTATGGTCAAACAAACCCCACGACCCGCGCTGCGCGAGATGGTCCTCATCCAGCAGTGGATTGACAAACGGGCCGTGCGTGGACGTAACAAATGTGGGCCTTCATCACCCGAATTGTCTTGACGGTCCACGTTTCCGCCCGTTCAAGATCTCTCCGCGAGCAGGCGCGGTGCCGAGCGTGCCGCTTTTGCGATGCCGCGTGTCTGAACTCTCACCCGTAGAACCGATGGGTTCGTTGTTGAGGGTCACGTGCGGAATATCCCCCCCCCCACATGTCCTGGTGTGTACAGAACGCAGCGCGGCAGTACGAGATGCTGGTGGCAGCCGCCGCTGTCGGCGTGGGATGCTGCTTCGGAGCTCCTGTTAGCGGTGAGGTCACGTTGACTTGCTGTCACCGCCACTGTCATCACCGTGCATTCGTTTTTGCCCGTGCCTCTGATTAGCACGGTTGGCCACGTACGGTACGAAAGAAGTTTAACGTACGTGCGTGCGGCTGTCGCGCATCCCGTTAACCGTGCGGCCATCTGTGAGTTGCGTAATCCCGGCAGCAGCATTGGTTTCAACGCAAGCAAAAGCTCCGGACCGGTTTCGACGCACAGGGTCTCATCAGTAGAGTGAGGCAAGGACCCACACCAAGGGAGAGTGACCGCTGACCCCCATCTCTCCCCGGCCCCCCCCCCCCCCCACCGTGCCTGTAGGGGTGCTCTTCAGCGTCGAGGTCATGTCGAGTCACTTCGCCGTGCGCGACTACTGGCGGGGATTCTTCGCCGCGTCGTGCGGGGCCCTCATGTTCCGCATCCTCTCCGTGCTCAACAAGGAGCAAGGTTCGTGGGACGCTCCGGGAGGCGGGCCGCGCGCGCTGTATGCACGCGCATACGCACGTGCGTGCGGTGTGTGTGTGTTGAACTTCTTTCGCACCGTACGTAGCCGAGCGTGCAAATCGAATGTGCTGAGTAAGGACGACAAACTAAACACAAAAAGCAGTTCTGAAGAAATTAGTTTGTCAATCTGGATGATTGAAAAGTGCACAGAGCTCCCAATGGCTTCCTAATATCGGAAGGAAGAGCGTTCCAGACGGCCGCAGAAGCGCATCTGAAAGCGCGCGATGCGGTGCCCGTCTTTAATTGATGGCTAGCCAAAAGCCGCTGCCGCGAGGATAGCCGGAGTTGACATGATGGTTCATTCTCCTTGACGAGATCAGGGAGGTATTGTGGTTCATTTGGGGCAACCACTTTGTGTCTAATGATTGCGACCTCATGACCAGGGGGTCACGAAAATCAAATGGCTCGGGTCTCAAGAACCCTCCGGAGTGTCCCCGTTCGCCCTCAGACCACGCTCGGCCCGTTCGTCCGTTCAGCACCCACGTGTCAGGCGCCTCCGATTAGCACGGTCGGCTGCGTACGGCGCGAAAGAAGTTCAACGTAAGTACGACGCGGTCAGTTGGCGCACTGCGCTTCGAACCCCCCCCCCCCCCCTGGCCGGCAACTCGAGTTCGATTCCCTCAGCCACGGCTAACGTCATTCGGTGTGCGAGTGATTTCTAAAATGGTCAGGGCCTACCTCACCGCCTCGGGTCAACCGCCCTCCCTGAGCAGCAGCGCCGGCGCTACGCGGGTGCTGGGGTCGGCCCGGCACCAAGCAGATATCCCTATGGCACCCAACCCAAGTTCACTTTCCTAAGTGGTGAATCACCGTTGTGGTAGCCCCCCACACACAACGGCCCTACTGCCCCCCCCCCCCACCCTCATCCCAAGCATAGCCGAAGCTGAGCGTACCGACCAGGATGGTGAGGTACAGTAAAACGATTCACGCGACCTACCTGGTGTTGCCAGATAAAAGGGTAAAAAACCAATTATCATATTTTTTTTACTGGCAAATGAGGTACCAATGGTGTAAATGCTTACCCCGAGCTCTCATGCTCTGATGGTGCATTGTCTTTGAGTTGTGCGCCTTTTGGCGTCATCTGGTCCAACACCATGTGAGACTAGGCTCTAAGAAAAGCTGTCTCGGGTGTGGACCAATCAACTTCAAGGACAGTGCATACATTATCAGAGTTATGTTTTTTGTTTGCATTATGACTGCAGGTATTGTGGTCTATGCAAACATGACTCCTCGTAAAAAAGGCGTCAGTTTTGTTGGCAGATAAAAAGGTAAAAAACCAAATTATCATATTTTTTACTGCCAAATGAGGTACCAATGGTCTACCTGGCGTTCGTTCGCACGTCAGCTGATTGGCAGTTCGGCTGTGAATCCACATTAAACCGATTGCCTGTGTCAGTGTCCAGATGAGGGTGTCTCAACTCCAGCCAATCCAGTCGTCGCACGCGCGATGCTCGCATGCCGTCCGCGCCAACGCTCGTCCGTGCGCACCCAGCCACGCCGACAACGCGCGTTCACGTCGTCGCTCTCGTCTGCTGTTGTTTCAGAAACCATCGTGGCTCTGTTCAAAACGCAGTTCCTCGTCGACTTTCCGTTTGACCTGCCCGAGCTCTTCTTCTTCGCCTTGCTTGGGTGAGAGGAGACCGCTCGGCTCTGCGATCGCGAGCGAACCGCGTGGGAGCCGCGTGGGAACCGCGTGGGAACCGCAAACTGCAGACGTTGCGTACAATTTACACAGATTCTGCTGTCCACGGAACAATGAGGAGAAAGTCTAAAGTGGAGATGCGAGGTGGCCGAGGCAGCTCAGAGGTCAGCGACCTGAGCTGGTACCGCTGAGATCCTCGATTTGCCTGTGATTAAATGGGGCAGTGAGTTGGTAAAAAACTCAACTATTTCAATTAAAACCTTTTATTTTTTTAACAGGTAAGGCCCACTGAGCTATCAAGCTCTTTTTTAGAAGCGACCTGGGCCACAAATGATAGCTCAAAGAAATGGCTTATCTTTTGGAAATGCATAGCAGCCAAATACTCAAAACGCACGTTGATTCTAAATGTGGAGGGGGAAACCAAAAGACCAAGAGAAAAATCCACACGACCACGGAGAGAGAGACACGCAGACTCCAAATATACAGCAGCAGGCATCAGGGTTGGGATCGAACCCACGACCTCCTGTATACCAGGCGAGATAGTTAACATCCCCTAGCCACCGTGATGATGATGAGAGAGAGAGAGACACGCAAACTCCAAATATACAGCAGCCGGCATCAGGGTTGGGATGAAACCCACGACCTCCTGTATACCAGGCGAGATAGTAAACATCTCCTAGCCATCGTGATGATGATGAGAGAGAGAGAGACACGCAAACTCCAAATATACAGCAGCAGGCATTAGGGTTGGGATCGAACCCACGACCTCCTGTATACCAGGCGAGATAGTTAACATTCCACAACCGCGAAATTTTAATGGTATGGCCTCAACCCGGTCACGGTGACTGCACAAGAGAACGCCACGGCATTTAATTTGCTTCTGTGGTCAAGTTGGTTAAATTCCAGCTCGGTGTATAAAAAAATATCTGTTTGGACTGTCATGCAATGAGCATTACTCTGTCGAGAAGTGCTGCTCGCTACTGCTTGGACCAGAGGTCACGTGAACGGAACTCTCAGAAGCAGTTCTATGATGTCCACTTCCATGGGCCATTCAGTAACTCAGAGGGCTGTCCTACTCTGCGAGATATCCGAATGAGTTCCGCCTCTCATGAAATAACGCTCGATAGCACAATCTGAATGAAATTCAGGAGACAAATGACAAGGGAATGAAAATTTCGATTTAAAGCTTTCGTGACTGCAGGGATTCATCTTCTTGGTTCTTTCGGTAAAGTCACGTAGAAGGGAAGTAATAAAAAAATAAAAACATAATAAAATTATTATTTTATTATGCTTTTATTTTTATAAAATAATTATTTATTTATGCTTTTATTTTTTTTATTTTTTTATTACTTCCCTTATACGTGACTTTACCGAAAGAACCAAGAAGATTAAGGGAATGAAAGTATCAATGTACTGACACACAACAAGCATGCTCTATGCAGCTTGGAGGAAGGCCACCTGGTGTAAGAGAGCCGAATTGAATGGACTCTGCAAGGTGGTTCTGCAGTCTAAATTAAACACGGATATCAGGGGACTACCGTTGGTGTCGCATGCACGTGGCTAAATGCACAAGTCGGTCTCTATTTGCGCTGCGGAAGGGCAATTGCTGAAAATGGCATACTCCGACCATATCCTGTGGGTTGTAAGATGCTACGAATCCGGTCGCTCGCGCTCACACGCACCACCCGATCGTTAGAGGCACCCCCCAAATTTTGCTATAAAATACAGGGTGGAAAAAGTATATCTTATAATCTGGAGAACACGGTATGGGTGTGCGGTATACTTTTCTCTGATTCGGCAGTGTTTATGATGAATGGATGGGGCTAATTGTTTAAATGAATTTCGTGATGCCACCTTCAAGCAATATTTCCCCCCCCAATTTGTGACTGTGAATTCTGGAATGACGTTTTCTCTCGCAAGCCTGACTTGAGAGTTTTATTGTTTTTTAAAATAAATTTTGTACCTAAGTGATCAAGAGTCTAATTTGTAAGAGCGACCCTTTGGGCAGTAATTTGTATAATCCCAACTGATAGCAGCACAACTGGGCTAGAGCAGGTCACAGCCGACCCGTCGCTCTCCTCCACGTGGATTGTGGCAGTAGTGGCATCACTAACGGATCCATGCCGCCTTGCTGCTTGCCTCCCCCCCCCCCCAGTGTCATCTGCGGAGGGGTCAGCTGTGCCTACCTCTACTGCCAGCGCACGTTCTTTGCGTACGTCCGCAAGAACAAAGTGACCGCTAAGCTCCTGGCCAGCGAGTAAGTGGGAATTTTAGACGTCGGGTGACTTTCACCAGCCAGCTGCGGCCACAGTGTCGAGAATGCTTCCGTCACGGCCGATATCGATTAATCAATCGTCCTCTCTATTGGTAAGAGGTTGGCAGCAACAGATCTCCGTTTTTACCTGGCCCTCCACACTTCTACATCACCTTCCTGTCTTGAGACCGCTCCATTAATCGATGTCACCAATCCATTTCTGTCCTCGCCATTCTTTCATCTGTCTTTGCTGACAGAAGGCATTTTTTCCAGACTCGTGTGCACAAATTAATGTTTCATTCTCCTCGTATTATCCATTACCCCATGCCCTGGTAGGGCGCATGGGCCACATCTCATCAGATCCCGATGCTTGGATTTGCTGCCAACATACATCACGGGCGTTACAGGCTCTGTGGCTACATTAAGGGCACTGAAGCAAAACCCATTGTTGTACTGTACTACTACGCTCGCGTGTGTCTGTGCTCCGCACCTTCACCGAGCCGCACTGACCAGCGTGGGGAAGTAGGGTCATGTAGACTACACGACTCGCACAACAGCCAACACACAACCGGTGTGCTGTACAAGTAACGAATTGGTCACGTTCTGTTTACGTGACAAACCTTACTAATTGGCTGTGTCGGGTGGTGGCGGGTTTAACGACACATTTATATATTTACGCGATCTAACCCCAAAAAACCTGCATTATGGATGTACACATGGGTCACGGGTTTAACGTGATCCGTTGTAATTTATATGACGGCATTGACCGCCCCTCTGGTCGTCGAACCTGATAGGCTGACGGTGGTGACATCACCTCTACTCCTCTCTTTCAGACCGAAACAGGAGGACTTCACTATTCGGGCTAATCGCCTGACGAAGCTGGTCATAATCACCAGCGAAACGTCGGACTCGAATTGTAAATGTCGTGGGTTTACTCTCCAACACGCAACTGGTGTGCTGAATTGATAACTAATTGGCACCTTTTGTTTACGGTGGTGGCAAGGGTTTAATAACCCTAAAAAAACTTTATTATGGATACAGCCACATAGCCTGCACGACTCACACGACAAGCACGGGGAAAGGCCTCATCCAGCAGTGGATTAACACAAATTTGCTGCACGCGTACGTGTACACATAGGTCAAAGAATGTGTGAGGTCACAGTGAACCCAACCGCTGACCTGAGTGCTCCTTGTGCACCCGCAGCAAGGCCCTCTACTCCACCGCGGTGGCTTTCCTGCTGGCGGTCATCACGTTCCCGCCTGGGTTTGGCCAGTTCATGGCCGCGCGGGTAAGAATGTCCGCGGTGCGCTCCCCGTGCCTTCTCGCGTTGTTCCGTGCGCCGTTCAAGTTCAAGTTCATTTATTAGGTATAGCCCTGTGAGCCATTCGGCTCTTGAATCGGGTGCAACCGCAACAAACAAAAAAACTAAAACATGAACAAAAAACATCTTAAAGTGAATATGTGACTAAGTGCAAACAGAAAATCCAAGAAATAACAGCAAAATATTGCAGAAAAAACACCGTACACCAACGCTGTGTGCAAAAATCCCAGTGGGATGCAAGTCAAACAACAACAACAACAACCACAAGACAACTTAGATTAAGGCCATCAGTCTAACTCTGTACTACAACAAACAAACACGGCTAAACCAATACACTTTTCGAAATCACCAAAATAAAGCTATGAAAGCAATGAAAAAGCAATCATAAGAACTGTGCCATTGGGGGCGCGAGACGCATGCGCCACCCGCTGGAAGCCCTCTTCGGGAAACGGAACTGAATTTGCCACGCGTTGCAATCTGAGAATACGGCATCGATATACGAACTGAACAACAAGAAAAAAACTCGACACAGTCCGTCAATCACACCGTGGCCTTAAAAGGTTAAATGTATAATTGGCGAGGATTTGGGAAACGGCCCTTCTTCATAGCGCATAAATCAGTAGCCCTTCTTCGTACCGATTAGCGCGGTTGTATACATACCGTGCAAAAGAAGTTCAACAGGCATACTCTCACCGACTCACTCACTCACCCATTCGCAGTTGGCCTCATACGGTGCGAAAAAAGTTTAACATACATACATACACTCACCCACACACTGACCCACTCACTCACACACTCACCATTGGCTACGTACGGTGCGAAAGAAGTTCAACATACATACATACACTCACCCACTCACTGACCCACTCACTCACACACTCACGGTTCGCTACGTACGTTGCGAAAGAAGGTCAACGTACATACTACATACATCACGTGCTTCGAAGGAGGGCAATTGCCATTTATACATAGTTCCTTTTGAGGCCACAGCGATAATGACGAATGCGCTGAGATTTGTGTTGTGCTTGTGCACCTCTGCCAACGCAGCCTCACCAAATAACATATAATGACTTGGCCATTGTGGATCGGTGAAGGGGTTAAAAGGCAACCCAGGGCCGGTTCAAATATCGCTTGCCACCGTGATGTTAGCCGTCGCTGGCCAGAAAGTGAACTCAAATGGCTGTGGTTAGTAGTGCAGTGCTCCACCCCGAGCCTTTTGTTACAGACGGTTATGTATTTCTGTACATTATGTCATTTCATAACTTGTACAATATTCCTGTAACGATCTGTCTCGCTCGCTTATGAGAACACATCGCATGCCCCCCGATGGAGAATGTAAAACTAATAGCCCAGCCGCCAGCTCGGATCAAAGAACGGAAGTTGAAATAAACATTTCGTCTCGCGTCGTTATTTCATCTCCTACATTCTGAATGGCCGTTCTAAAAAAAGTCACCGATGTGATATATTGTGCTTGCCCTATTGTGTAAGGTTAAATAATTATCACTTGTTAGCAGAATTAAAAAGAGGCGGCGGTGGTCTGTGCAATGGCGAAGATTTGGGAAACGGCCCTCACACGCATAATTGTCACGAGTTCATCGAGTTGAATTGCCTTTTGACAATGAAAACACTGGGCAAATCGAGTGCAGCTGCAAACCCGTTCCTTTATTTTATGGAGATCCTGAGCACACGCTTGACTTTGCCATACGGAAAAATCTGCCTTCGCTTCCAGACCGGCTGCGGCCTGCGTTACTGTGGTCATATTTTTTGCACGGGCAAAAGCTCTCGTTCTTGTTCTCCGCGCCTTTCGATCTCCAAAAAACACCGTTTCATTTTTGTGCCACCCTACATGTCACGCGATTGACATCTAATCATTTATTTGGCCGTCACGTTTTGAATTTGTCGACAACCGGCGCGTTGAATCTGATTCACGTTGAAGGCGATGCTGACGTTGATTAACGGTAATTGGCACGTGGCTCCAAGATGCAGTAATGCACCATTACTTATTAATATCACTGGTCAACAAAAAATAATTCTAGGCCTGTACTTTTGCAGCTGTTTAGACTAATTTCAGGGTGCTGATTCCAAATCTGATCTCAGATTTGCTCTATCACATCTAATTTTTATGCTATCGGCATACCCCATTTTAATTGATTTTACCCGAAATTAACTCTGTCACTTATGATTGCAAGTTGTTGCGAGTCAGTGACTGCATTAGTCTTAAAATATTGTGCTGTATTTTTAGAATAGTATGTTTAAAATATCATTTTATGTAGATATCCACATTTATTTAATATTTTTCTTCTGCAGCTTTTATTGAAAATGCAATATTTGATATCTCAAAAACCTGATGTGATAGACAAAAGATTTGGAATCAGCACTCCAAACTTACCTTAAAACCGTTGGAATACCTTATGCCAGAAAAAGTGTGTTGACCAGTGTAATTAATCAAAAGTATTCAATTTACATCCGTTCGTTCACGTAACTGCTGGATGAAGGCCTCCCCATGCCATGTCAGTCATGGGGGGTTTTTGACCATACTTCACCATGCTGGTCAGTGCAGGTTGGTAAAGAAGGGCCCCAGGAGGACTGCTTCACAGATCACTCCCCCACTGATGATGTTTGCCAGGGCCAGGACTCGAACTCAGATTACCGGGTTCATAGCATGGCTCCCGAACCATTACACCACTGCTCTCCCCTATTAATAATCGTTGAGAAAAAATGTTTTACAATGCAGTGCTAGTATGTCATAATGTCTGGTTGGTATACATTAAACATCCATAAACAAAATTACATAAAACCAAAAAATGTAATTGTAAAAATGACTGAATGCTGATGCAGTGCAGATGGCACCCGTTGTGTCAGCCGTGACTTGTATATCCATGCGAAATGTTCCTATAGGGCCAATCACCCGGAATGCATTCAATCTATTCAGATCTCGGAAGCTAAGCATGGCTTTTTCACCGGGTCCTCCGGTTTTTCCCTCTACATTTAGAAACGTGTGTTTAGAGTGTTTGGCTGCTATAAATCTCCACGTGATAAGCCACTTTGCTGAGCTATCATTTGTGGCCAGGTCGCTTCTGAAAAAGAACTGTATAGCTCAATGGACCTTACGTGGTTAAAAAAAAAGTCAAGCTTTAAGTCAAGATTTAAAATATGAATACTTTTTTGTAGTTGTAAGTGTCGAAGGCTCGCTGGCAGGAGGTCACGGGACAGACCCAGGTGCCATAGGTGGACTTACTGAGATGACCGACAGACACACCACCTGTGTTCCCCACTGTGATTGTGGGAAACACACACAATCAAATATCTTTCATTGAATCAGTGCTCTCTTCAATCAAGGCGTGTGTATATTTCGCATGCTATTTTTAAGTGTTTTATTACAGCCTCACAGTTCTGGGTGGGAGGCTATTGGCACAAAGTAAAGAAACTAAACTATCCCTCCAAAAGTTTACTGTCGACCACTTCACGATAGTCTATGATGGATTTACGAGCCACTTAAACCCACATTTAGCGACCATAGCCCTTCATGAACGTTACATCTTGCAGAGAGGAATGCACAAATGAGCCGACCGAAGTGCATGCACCCTGCGTGTGTTGGGGAAGTGCATCTCCAGTCGTGTGTGCACTATAACCATGACGGCTATGAAACTGAGGATCCGAGTTCAATTCATGGTCAGGCAAAAGATCAGTGGCAATCGGCGGCGTGTAAGGGTGCATAACCAGGGCCTAGCTTCAGCCGGCTCTGTCCGGATCATCCACTCGCAGTGGCGAGATGTCAACTACCTCGCCTGGTATACAGGAGGTCGTGGGTGCAATCCCGACCCTGCTTCCTGTATATTTGGAGTTTGCATGTTCTCCCCGTGGTCGTGTGGATTTTTCTCCGGGTCCTCTGGTTTTCCCCCCACATTTAGAAACGTGACTTTAGAGTGTTTGGCGGCATTACGTTTCCACGTGATGGTAAGCCACTTCGTTGAGCGATCATTTGTGGCCAGCTCGCTTCTGGAGAGAAAAAAAGTTGAATTCATAATTTAGTTTTAGTTTTACAGGCTGTAAGCTCCCCTCCCCTGCCATACGTGACATCCTTTACACAATTGTTGTTGTTTGTCGCTGTTGTTGTTGTTGTGTGTCACCCATCTCCGTCCACAAAGCTCACCATGAAGGAGCTGCTGACCTCCATGTTCGACCGGGACACGTGGTTCGTCCTGTCGGCGAACAGAAGCGCCGACTTGGCGGCGCCGGTCAACCAGAGCAGCCTGTGGCTGGAGTGGGCGAACCCCGACTACGGCGGCGTGTTCGCCACGCTCTGCGTCTTCATCGTCATGAAGGTGCCAAGTGCCGTCCTGCCAGAGGTCGCAAACGGGTTTTGATTCCTTACCCGTACCCGGCCGCACCAGGGTCGCAAACGGGTACGGGTAGGGTACGGGTACCCGTACCCGTACCCTACCAGATACCCGGCTACCCGTACCCGGCCGGGTATGGGTAGGGTATGGGTACGCGTACCCGATTGCGACCTCTGGGATGAAGCCATGTTGCAGGCGCGGGTGGGTTGATTCTAGGAACTTGAATTGTGAGAAGAGACAAGACGTTGGGAAATGAGTGACAAACGGTGACTCACCAGTGACTCACGGCCTACCCGTACCCGGCCGCACCAGGGTCGCAAATGGGTACCCGTACTCTTACCCAGCCGGGTATGGGTAGCCGGGTATCGGGTAGGGTACGGGTAGTACGGGTATCGGGTACTCGGTTGCGACCTCTGCGTCCTGCTTGCCCACCCCGTGGGTCACCGCGCCGGAGAAGGCGGCTGACCCTGCACAGCCATGCAGGGGAAGGGGGGGGGGGCAGAACGCGGCACATGCCGATAAAACTATAAACTATTTTTCATACTAAATTTCGATTTAAAGCTTTCGTGACTGCAGGGATTCATCTTCTTGGTTCTTTCGGTAAAGTCACGTAGAAGGAAAATAATAAAATAATAAAAATAAAACATAATTAAATAATTCTCACGACGTTTCGGCTACAACGCAAGCAGCCGTCATCAGGTGTGAAATCCACAGCAGTCGAAACGTCGTGAGAATTTGTATTGTTTTATATTTATATTATTTTATCATTTTCCTTCTACGTGACTTCACTGAAAGAACCAAGAAGATATTTTTATACTCTTTGGTTCTTTCGGTAAAGTCATGTAGATATAAAATAAAATTAATCACAACGTTGTCTCGGGCGCAACACAAGCGTCCGTCATCAGGTGGGAAAGCATGGTCTGCCGAAACGTCGTGATTTGTTTTATTTATACCTATTTTTATTTGCCAGGTAAGGCCCACTTAGCTGTGTGGCTCTTTTTCAGAAGCGACCTGGCCATCACTAAATGGTTGACAAAGCGCTGTGATTCTTTACATTGTATCATTGTTATTATAATATATGTCTTGTGTAATTGGTTCATGTAACTCGTTCAGCCGCTAGAGTTACTGGAAAAAAATATAATATATTATTTAAATAACGGCTCCCAAGTGGTGGCGATTAATCACGAGTTTGAGCTGTGGCAAATCTGCTGAGTCGGGAGTCAGTAACAGTGCACTGGGTTCTGCTGCTGCAATGTCACGTCCGCTGTTGTGCCGTGTGTTCTTAGTTCTGGATGCTCATTCTCGCGACAACAATGCCCCTTCCCGCTGGTTACTTCATGCCCGTGTTTGTTTACGGTGAGTTGGTTCATCATTAACATCATCATCATCATCAAGACAACCATCATCATCATCACAAGTAATTACAAAAGGGTTCATACTCTGAGGGTTTTTCGGTAAAGTCCACGTAGGGGGGAAATAAATAAATAAAGATTACTATTTTTTTAATTCTAGAAATCAAATAATCAATCACGACGTTTCTATTATTATTTTCTATTATTTCTCATTATTTTTTAGTATTATTTATTTTTTACCTACGTGACTTTACCGAAAAAACCTAAGAGTATGAATCCTTGCAGTCACGAAAGCTTTAAATCTAGAATTACAAAACGCTTCTCAACTGTCGGTTTACTCTTTTCCCGTTTGGTAGTTTCCCATCTCTATAAAAGCCAGTCAGAGGGAGCCACGGCAGAGCAATTCTCAAACTTCCACTACAAAGTTCGATTCCTGCTCACGGCTAACATCAGTGGCGAGTGATAAATGAACCAGTCCCAGGCGCCCTGACCCACTTTACAAAACCCGCACTGACAAACAACACCCGTGACCGGAATGGTGTACAGAGGCCTTCGTCCGGCAGACGGTTGAAAATAATTTGATGTTACGTTATTTTTTCGCTGTGTACCTCCAACGCATTCTGCTCCAACGTTGCCTGTTCCCCCCCGTATGTGGCGGCATGTATACCAATCATCAGGCACGTGCGGTGCGTAACAACTTCCCGTGTAATTTTTTTGTGCGTGCGTTTAGTTTGTCATCCTTCCCTTGCGCCTTCCGATTAGCACGGTTGGCTTCGTACGGTACGAAAGAAGTTCAATGTGCGTACGAGCACAAACACCGGAGTATATGGGTAAACGTGGAAAGGTGGTGGATTTGTGGTGGATCGCGAGGACTGCAGTGTGCGACACCCTGCTCCGCTCCATCATCAGAGCCCATCGCTCGTATAAGTGTTTTAGTTTTCATGCGACACCTCATCATTCATGCAAACTTCACCGCACAACCACTGAAGAACCAGAGGCGGACAGGAATGCCAGCCAGGCAGCGAACCGGCGCTACCAACAATTGCCCAAGCTCTGCGACCCTCTTTATTGGCAGATTGTTTGCAGCCAATTAATGAGTGATGAGACACTCTGCAAAGGCACCAGTGCCACAGTTTCGAGACGCCGCAAGGCTTTCACCGGTCACCTCGTGCGGGCGGTCGTATTGGACGGAGCGATAAGCACGTGTGCTTGGCAGGCGCCGCGCTGGGCCGGCTGGTCGGCGAGGTCCTCGCTTACATCTTCCCAAACGGAATCAAGTCGGAAGGAACCGTCGTGTACATCACGCCGGGAGGTTACGCCTTGGCAGGTGCGGCTTCGCAGCGCGTCACGGTCGCACTGGCCGCACACACAGAGGCACCCGCGCGCACGCGGTGAGAAAGACGTTCCTCCGTTTGTGCACAAAGATAACGAAATACCGCCCTCCCTCCTTCACCTCCTCCTCCCTGACCGTGCCGTGCAATCGGTGTGCCACGGTGGCGAGATGTTACCTACGATGCCTGGGAGTCAGGAGGTTGTGGGTTCGATCCCGAACCTGACGCCTGCTGTATATTTGGAGTTTGCCCGTTCTCCCCGTGGCCGCGTGGATTTTTCTCCGGGTCCTCCGGTTTTCCCCTCCACGTTAAGAAACAGGCGTTGAGAGTATTTGCCTGCTACGCATTTCCGCGCGATAAGCCACTTCGTTGAGCGATCATTTGTGGTGGCCAGGCCGCTTCTGAAAAAGAGCTACATAGCTCAGTGGGCCATACCTGGTATAAGTATAACCCGTAAAAACAAAGTTTTTCACTATAAATCCTTTATATGCGTGGCGGCTAGAGTCCTCTCGTCCTCTGGCTTTAAATGGCTGCCACCTATGGGTCAGATGATTGCATTGCACCATTAAGCAATTGGTAATTAAATATAATATTTTTGTCCTAAAAAGTATAAAATTTTGGAAAATATTTTCACGAACATTAATTGTCACGCACAACGAGTCTGTGTGGAAAATGTCAGCTCGATTGGATCACGGGAAGTGGGTTAAAAAACGACCGAAATATTTTCACGGTCCTAAGCAAGCAAGCAAGTGAACTTAATATAAAGATTTAAAAATAAAATAAATAGTTTCGCTTTATCGGTGTGTGCCGCGTACCGCCCGTGCAAATCCTCCCCTGCCGTCCCCCGCATGGCTGCGTAGGAGCGGCCGCCTTCTCCGGCGCGGTCACCCACACGGTGTCCACGGCCATGCTGGTGTTCGAGGTGACGGGCCAGATCGCTCACATCCTGCCCGTGCTCGTGGCCGTGCTCGTCGCCAACGCCATCGCCCAGAAGTTCCAGCCGTCCTTCTACGACGGCACCATCATGATCAAGAAGCTGCCCTACCTCCCCAAGCTGCGGGGCGCGGGCCGCACCGGGTAAGGATCACCAGGCGCTTTGCCCTTTTCCAGTGGCGGATTATCCCCGTAGCAAAAGTAGCTACGTATGCAGTAGCTACGGGCCCCGCACTTTCAAGGGCCCCGCGCTAAATGCTTTCCAGCTATCCATTCCGATTCAGTGATTTTGCTCTATTACTATAGTACTATACCACCTTCAACTTTTACGAACGACTGGGTGTTTAAGGTGAGCGATTTGTCGTATTATCTGGCTGTATAGCAAATGAAAAAATCCAATATACTATGCAAGTAAAAAAATGTGTGTTTTAATATGTTTGTGTTTTGTTATATTTAGGGCCGCTTGATAACATATGCTACAGGCCCCGCATTAGCCTAATCCGGCACTGAACCCGAGTTCAATTCCCGCTCACTGCCAACACCAGTGACCATTATCTGGACCTCCCCTAGGTCGACTTAGCCTCATACCAGTACTTGGTACAGTGTGTAAACATCGCAACACTAGCCTTTTGCCCGTCCAAGGACGGGTGTATTGCAGTAAATCTGAAACTTGCAAGCGAAAAGCAGACCGCGACGTGATATATTCATTGCATCAATTCGTGTGCAATTTGTAAGGGTGCGGTGACACAGACTTATTTCATTTAAAGGTTATAATCCCTTGTTCATCATGACGTCCTTTTTACTTTGATGTCTCAACAGCGTTACGGAGATCGCGTGACGTCAGGGTTCTGACTTTGTAGTGAGGGTTGTAAGTTGACGCCGAGGAGGGAGGAGGCGCCTCGCCCCCCCCCCCATGTGGAGTGACGTGAGCCGCTCATGATTATTAATGGTGGGGGGGGGGTCCATTTGGAGGACGTCACCTTATAATGATTATTAATGAGGGGGGGCTGGTCGACGTGGAGTGACGTCACGCGCGTTACACACTGACATTCTTGGGTAAATACAACAGTTAATGGAGGACAAAGGCGGCTGGGCGTGGTGTTTGCCACACCCCCCCCCCCCCTCGTGTGCCGTGCCGGCCTTCATAGGTGCTCGCTAACAGTACTCGCCCCTAAAGTCTGTTCAGGCTACACGGGGGATCTTTGTCTTTATTTGTGCTCGTCCGTGTCCGCTGCCGCAGGGCGTATGGCATTCTAGTGGAGCAGTTCATGAACACCAAGATCAGCTACCTGACGCGGGATTCTTCGGAGCGACACGTCAAGAAGATCCTGAAGTCGGTGCCCCTCACAGCCTACCCCGTGGTGGACGCCGACAGTGAGTGGCAACGCTCGGCACCTGACGATATTCTCAAAACACGGAATGGGTCATGTGGACCCACGGACCGTGTCTTGTCTGTGCGTCTGAAAATTGGCATTTAAGTTTCTCGTCGATCATAACCGCATTTTTGTTTTGGGAACAGTCTTGAGATGGGGGCTGATTTTACAGACCCTAACTGCCTTCCTTCTTGATTCGTCATTATGCTGAACTTTTTTCGCACCGTACGTAGCCAACCGTGAGTGCGCGAGTGAGTAGGTTTAGTGAGCGGGTGAGTGTTTGTATGTATGTTGAACTTCTTTCACACGGTACATAGCCAACCGTGCTAATCAGAGATGTGCAACAGTGTGGTCGTGGCGAGAAAAAAACGCCCCCAAACTTGCCACCGTATTTATACTCCAAGGTTTCACACGTGAAACGGGTTTGCATCTTTATTCCATTATTTTTTATTAATTTAATTTCATTTTTTACCTACGTGACTTTACCGAAAGAACTAAGAGTATGAATCCTTGCAGTCACGAAAGCTTCAAATCTAGAATATTTATTCCAAACAACGGGAAGTCGCTTGCGTTTTCTCTCTCGTCTCAGATTCCATGATACTGGTGGGCGCGGTGAGAAGACCAGAACTTGTTCAATGGATGAGAAACCGGGCCACAGATGGGGTGAGTCTCACTGGGGGGGATGTATCAGACTGCACGGCAACACACCCCAAGTCTGTGCCTGCAGGACAAATCAGCCCAGAATTGCCCCCAATCTCGCAGATCTCGGAAGCTGAGCACACTTGAGCCTGCTGGACATTGCTCTGATGAGTGGCCAGCATGCACAGGTGGCTTGCGGGCCTACCTGGTGTTCAGCAGAGGGCAGTGCAGCCATTTTGTTATTCCACTGCTGGATGAGGGCATCGCCCATGTCGAACAGCTCATTGGGGGTTATTTAAACGTACTTGACCGCGCTGGTTAGCACCGGTTGGTGGGAGCATGGTACAGTACAACAATTGATTGTGTTGCCCTCTGCTGGCCTCTGCTGCCGACAACATATAGCCGAAGCAGTCTAGACCAGGGGTCCCGTGGCCTGTTAGGAACCGGGCCGCACAGCAGCAGGAGGTGAGAGCGGTGAGTCCGTGCGTGGAACCCGCCCCCATTGTTTTATTATTTACCACTTCCATCCGTGCCGTTTTCCCGCACTGCGCACTTGTCTCAGTCACAGTGTTGGTAAGCCCACGGGCTCTAACCCCTGGCCAAGATGAGTAAAAAACAAACGTCGCTGGAGAGCTTCTTTGAAAAGGGGGAAAGACCCAATGATGACCCCCCCCCCCACCCCCCCGGTCCGTGAAAAAATTGTCTTCCACGAAACCGGTCCCTGGTGCCAAAAAGGTTGGGGACCGCTGGTCTCGAACACCTATTTTATGCACGATGGTCACCCAACCAGGCACTGTCCAGGCTCAAAGCTGCTCAGCTTCTGAGATCTGACGAGATCGGATGCATTCGGGCCGATTTGGCCAGCATAGAGTACCGTACTTTGTGAAAGTAAAGCAGTGGATTGTGTGGGTGGCCGGCAGCCTCAGGAGGGTAATATCGTGTCAGAGCGCTCAGCCAGCATCGCCAAAATAATTGGCTTCTTGTTCGGCCGAGCATGATTAAACCAGGTCCTCAAACATAGCGGGTGGAAGCCTCAGCCCGACAAACCAAGTACTGTGCCGAAATAAACTCTGTAATATTAAATTCGGTGTTCGGGTATTTCTGCATTTTTCCAGCTGTGGTGATCACTAAATGTGTCGGTTTGATTGACATGCAGCAAACACCTCGATAGCAGGGCAAGTAGAAAAGGTTCGGCACCCGTCGTGTGGATAAGAGGTGATTGAAAGCTTCTCGAAAGTAGTTCCGTGGTTACGTTTTTCGTAGCAAACATAAACGTTGATACTCTTTGGTTCTTTCGGTAAAGTCACGTGGGTAGAAAAATAATAGGTCACGACGTTTCGACCGCAACGCAAGCAATCGTCATCAGGTGGGACAACCACAGCAAGAAAAAACTGCTGAAGTAGGCTGATTGAATGTTCTGACTTCTTGGCTTTTACTTCCCACCACGTGGATTTTCTTGAAGATCCACGACGCGGATTACCAGTGACACGATTTCTAAAGTTGGTTGTGAGAGTTGCTCTTCAACTTGACCGCTCGAGTGGAATCAACAACGATTGGGGCGCCTTTTGGCATCATCTGGTCGAACACCATATGAGACTAGGCTCTAAAGAAAGCTGTCTCTGGTGTGGACCAATCAGTTTCAAAGACAATGCATAAATTATCAGAGTATTGTTTTGTGTTTGCATTTGACTGCAAGTATTGTGGTTAATGTAAGCATGATTCCTTGCAAAAGGTGTCAGTTTTGTTGCCAGAAAAAAGGGGGAAAACCCTATTAGTAGATTGAGGCGTTGTTAGACGCGCGTGCAACCGCGCGGCCATGTAAGTTGTTTGGCTATGTCGGGCGGTGCGGGGTCTTTCGCCAGAAAATTGACCGGGCCAATATATGGCGCAGCCCAAACAAAATCTACCATGAATCGTAATTCCGTGATATTATCTCTAACGTGTGGTGACGATGCACTGCTTTGTACGTGATTTACGAATGGAAACGTTTCTCTCTAATGCCACACGACATCCATAGCACAATTGGAATTCCATCGGGGAAGAGCAGACAATGTGTATTTTATCAACATGAAGTGGTGCCATCATTGGCACCCCATGCATCTCTCCTTCCCTCCAGGAGTTGGAACCCCCAAAGACACTCGACGGATGCGACATTGAGCCGATCACATTTCAGCTTTCTCCAAAGACGTCCCTCTATCAGGTACTCTCAGTAAACATTTCACTTTAACACGTAGGCTTCCGCGACCAATATTATTCATTATAAAGGTTTTGGGGTTGGATCGCATAAGTATAAATGTGTCGTAACCCTCCACCACCCGACACAGCCAGTAAGGTTTGTCACGTAAACTACAATTAGATTTTGATTTAACGCTTTCGTGACTGCAGGGATTCATATTCTTGGTTCTTTCGGTAAAGTGACGTAGAAGGGAAATAATAAATTAATATAAATATAAAACAATAAAAATTCTCACGACGTTTCGACTGCAACACAAGCAATCATTTTCAGGTGTGAAATCCACAGCAGTCGAAACGTCATGAGAATTTTTATATTTTATATTTATACTTCATTATTTCCCTTCTACGTGACTTTACCGAAAGAACCAAGAATATAAAAACTACAATTAGTTACTGCTTCAGCCCACCGGTGTGTTGGAGAGTAGATCCACAACATTAACAATTACTCGTATTCGCGCGTTGTTTACGCGACAAACCTTACTTGCTGTGTCGGGTGGTGGAGGGTTAGGACACGTTCATCCTTACACGATCTAACCCAAAAAATCTTTATTATGAAAAACATTTCACTACTTGCAAATGATACACTACACACACACAATGATTTATATCAACTGCAACTCCTCAAGACCCAACCCCAACCATTGCCCAGAGACATTCGGAAACAATGAGCACTTTTAATCATTCACAGCTGTTGGAACAATCGCATCCAGCAGGTACACATATACAAGATTGCTGCCGAGCTAAACCAGGACGGTACACTGACAGTGGTGTGACCAGCACCACGTGTCACCCAATTTGACCACACTGATAACACGATGTAACACGATTTTTGTTCCTAGGTGGTGAGTGTTATTTTCTAATTGCTTAGGCCTCAAAAGTAAAGATGATGGCTATTATTCCCCACAGACTTTGCTTTTGCGACCAGGACTTTACGTGAAGGAATGACACAAATGCACACCGCGTTTTCTCTTTGAAAAGCAAAGTTTGTGGGAAATAATAGCCACTTTCTGTACTTTTGAGGCGTAAGCAATTGGAAAATGACACTTAATACCCAGGAACAAAAAATAAATGTGTTACACACATTAAGATACGATGTGTATTTACCACAATGCACTTCTTGAGGACATCATTGTGTGCTTATTACTATTTTTTGTGTCTTGCTTGAAACGTATGGTCTTGCAGCCTGCACGATCATTCTATTAGGATCGGGTTTTTTTTTTGCATCTCTCTCGTCATTTACAGATGTGATTGACGTGGATTTATACAGCGCCTAAATGTGACTGCATCTCAAGACGCTGCACATAAACAGTGGGAGTGTTTATTTTACAGAGAGAAAGAGGCAGTTGATCATAGGCAGAGGAAACATAGAATGGTTTGAGCCTGAACTTGAACAGAATCAAGGAGTCGATAGCACCGATGGCTGGGTGAGCTCAGGACTATCATTTACTCAGTTAAAATTTTGGCCGTATATTTCCGAACTACAACGTGGTTGGAAAGTCAAACTAAGCGAGCGGCATCACGGAGCGAACGTCTCGCACCCAAAGCGCGCTTTCAGATGCGCTTCCGCGGCCGTCTGGAACGCTCTTCCTTCCGATATTAGGAAGCCACTGGAGCAATGCACTTTGAAATCATTCTCATGGACAAACTCGCTTCTTGAAGGCTGCTTGTTGTGTTTAGTTTGTTTTCCTTCCACCCCGCACCTCCGATGAGCATGATTGGCTACGTACGGTGCGAAAGAAGTTCAAAATATCTTCTTGGTTCTTTCGGTAAAGTCACGTAGAATGGAAATAATAAAATAATAAAAATAAAACATGAAATAATTCTGATAAGACAGAGTCTGAATGACTCTGTCTTATCGACAGACCTGTTCTTCACCTGAGGACGGCTGCCTGCGTTGTGGCCGAAACGTCGTGAGAATTATTTATTATGTTTTATTTTTATTATTTTATTATTTCCATTCTACGTGACTTTACCGAAAGAACCAAGAGGATGAATCCCTGCAGTCACGAAAGCTTTAAATCGAAATTTAAGTTCAAAATACTTTACGTGCATTGACCCTGTGACATTCCGGGTCGATTGCCGTGGGACTAGCCGAGTCGGCGCACCGAGCACCGAGCACCGAGCACCGAGCACCGAGCACCGAGCACCGAGCACCGAGCACCGAGCACCGAGCACCGAGCACCGAGCACCGAGCACCGAGCACCGAGCACCGAGCACCGAGCACCGAGCCAGCGGTGGCAACGTGGCACCAGCACACGGACGCCAGAGATTGAGCCTCCCCCCCCCCCCTCCTCCTCCCCCCCCTGCTGTGATCTCCTCGCAGGCTCACAAGCTGTTTGAGCTGCTCGGACTGCAGTTCATCTACGTCACGTCGGCCGGGCGGCTCGTCGGGGCTGTCACACTTGCAGAGGTGGGCGCCACGCTCACCCGGCGTAGAGTCACGCTCACCCCACCTAGCACTAGCCTCACCCCGCCTAGCACTACCCTCACCCAAACTGGCACTACCCTCACCCAAACTGGCACTACCCTCACCCCGCCTAGCACTACCCTCACCCCGCCTAGCACTACCCTCACCCAAACTGGCACTACCCTCACCCCGCCTAGCACTACCCTCACCCAAACTGGCACTACCCTCACGCCACCTGGCACTACCCTCACCCCACCTGGCACTACCCTCACCCCGCCTAGCACTACCCTCACCCAAACTGGCACTACCCTCACCCCGCCTAGCACTACCCTCACCCCGCCTAGCACTACCCTCACCCCGCCTAGCACTACCCTCACCCCGCCTAGCACTACCCTCACCCCGCCTAGCACTACCCTCACCCCACCTAGCACTACCCTCACCCCGCCTAGCACTACCCTCACCCAAACTGGCCCTACCCTCACCCCGCCTAGCACTACCCTCACCCCACCTAGCACTACCTTCACCCCGCCTAGCACTACCCTCACCCAAACTGGCACTACCCTCACCCCGCCTAGCACTACCCTCACCCCGCCTAGCACTACCCTCACCCCGCCTAGCACTACCCTCACCCAAACTGGCACTACCCTCACCCCGCCTAGCACTACCCTCACCCAAACTGGCACTACCTTCACCCAAACTGGCACTACCCTCACGCCACCTGGCACTACCCTCACCCCACCTGGCACTACCCTCACCCCGCCTAGCACTACCCTCACCCAAACTGGCACTACCCTCACCCAAACTGGCACTACCCTCACGCCACCTAGCACTACCCTCACCCCACCTAGCACTACCCCCACCCAGCCTGGCACTACCCTCACCCCACCTGGCACTACCCTCACCCAACCTGGCACTACCCTCACCCAACTGGCACCACCCTCACCCCACCTAGCACTACCCCCATCCAGCCTAGCACTACCGCCACCCAACCTGACACTACCCTCACCCCACCTAGCACTACCCCCACCCAACCTGACACTACCCTCACCCCACCTAGCACTACCCCCACCCAGCCTAGCACTACCCCCACCCAACCTGACACTACCCTCACCCCACCTAGCACTACCCTCACCCCGCCTAGCCCCACCCCCACCCCACCTAGCACTACACCCACTCAACCTGGCACCACCCTCACCCAACCTAGCCCCACCCTCACCCAAACTAGCACCACGCTCACCCGGCGTAGAGCCACGCTCACCTCAACCTAGCACTACCCTCACCCCACCTAGCACTACCCTCACCCAACCTGGCACTACCCTCACCCCGCCTAGCCCCACCCTCACCCAACCTGGCACTACCCTCACCCCGCCTAGCCCCACCCTCACGCAACCTGGCACTACCCTCACCCCGCCTAGCCCCACCCTCACCCAACCTGGCACTACCCTCACCCCGCCTAGCCCCACCCTCACCCAACCTGGCACTACCCTCACCCAGCCTAGCACCACCCCCCACCCCGCCTAGCCCCACCCTCACCCAACCTACCACCACGCTCACCCAACCTACCACCATGCTCACCTTTGTGGGTGACCGATCGCTTATTAAAATTCTCTTGCGGTCTCTCGGTGCCATGGGACGAAGTGTCCATTCGGACCTCTCATACAGCAGTGCAACCCTTCAAGTTGTAGAACGTCCGTTGGAAGCAGATATCGCAGAACTACCACTGAGATTTCTTCCGGTGACTTCTGTTCCTCACAGTAGAGGGCAGCACTTCTCCTACCCGCCCTGCCACAAAGCGTCATATTCATGGCGTGCCAACTGTTGAAATATTTTTTTCATTTTTAATTTAGTATAGAAACTATTTTTTTCTGCAATTTTCTTTTTTATTACACTTCTTTGTATTGTTATGCAGTCATTGGTGACCAGGGAGAGATCATCCCACTCAATATACTACAGCACCCAGATTCAATTACAGGCATTTTCCTGGATTTGATCCCAGGCTTCTCAGTGCTCCGACCTCTGGGCCAGCCAGCCACCCCTTCTTCTTGAAAGTTTTTTTTGGTCAGAATTTGAAAGGAAAATGTTACGTTTCTGTTCAGCTGAGCATTGCAATGGCACGGGCTTGCTGCTGCTGCTGCCCAGTGCCAGATCGACTGCTAAATAATTTGTCTGTCTGGCAACGCTGTAAAATGTCTGGAGAGAGAGGGCAGTGAGAGAGGAGAGGCTGATGTAAGGGAGATTAAGTGAGAATGCTGCCACGGTGTAATGGTCAGTACGCTGGACTTGCAATCCAGATGGCACCGGTTAGATTCTATCTCACGGCGCGGCAGTAGAAACGATGGTGCAAGTTTCTTAAATCTCCCCCCCGACTTTGTCAAATCTGCCCCGCAGCGGCTTTTGGCTAGCCATCGAACGTAGACGGCCACTGCATCACGCACTTTCATGTGCGCTTCCGCGGCTGTCTGGAACGTTCTTCCTTCTCGATATTAGGAAGCCACTGGAGTTGTGGACGTTTACACCTAGATTGTGAAACTCATTTCTGAAGAACTGATTTTTGTGTTTAGTTTGTTGTTCTTCCCTGGACCTCCGATGAGCACGGTTGGCTACATGCGGTGCGAAAGAAGTTCAACGTACTGTACATACAGTGATCTAGTCCATAGTCCCTACACAAATTGCTGCTGAACCATTTGCTGCATGGACAATGGCAATAGATCACCCATTGCCACGGGTGCCCTTCTAAATATTTGCCTGGAACAGTAATCAAACAGCGCGCACACGCACGTGTCAGATGAAGGCAAAGCTAGAAATCATACCCTGACACCAACAAACAGCATTTCGCGTGCCAGACATTAGGTTTGTCTTTCTACATTTACACTCAAGGCATAACAGGTAAAATTGTAAAGGAGCAACCCAGTAATTGCTAGCTCACGCCACTGCTGGCGGAAGGGCCTTCACTAGAGGGAGCTCTCGTGGGAATTTTGGCCTACTCTTCCACGCTGACCAGACGTCTTTCAAGACGTCTGCTCAGCGTGGACCAGACGTCTTTCGCCGATCAAGTAACGGTGGTCTACCCATGTGCGTACCCTGCTGGTGGACAGAGAGGAGGCGGAGAGGGGATTTAATGAAACGTTGGTCAATGCTGCCGCAACAGGAGATTGAACTCGGAGGATGGTTCAGTTAGACACACGAGGGGGAGAGGCTGCGGGCCTCCAAAGAACGACGGATAGGACATGATTTGGACTTCTTGTGTGTTAACCATCGCCACTCCGCTCTGTGTGCACAAAGACAAAGCTCCCCCGTATAGCCGTATCATGCTGGTGGGGCAAGTGCCGTTAGCGAGCAGCTATGAAGGCCGACACGGCACACGATGGGGTGGGTGGCCAGGACCACGCTCGGCCGCCTTTATCTTCCAAGTGGCGATGCTTTTACACAATGCACCAGGTACTCATTTGAGGCTAAGTCGACCTAGGGGAGGCCCAGGATCGATTCAGATAATCGTCATTGGTTCTTGAGCGGGAATTAAACTCGGGGTTCGTAGCACGGCACGCGAACTGCTACACTGCCACTCTGTGCGTAGACACACACACTCGCATTCATCCAGCTCAAGTACTGTACTACTACAGACCGACCGCACTGCATAATGTCCAGATAAGTCACAAAGAGTTCAAAAGAGAATCTGACTCAGCAATTCTCTTGAACAGAAATAATCCATGTCAGCGATGTGCGGGAGGTTTCGCATCAGCCGATGTCCTTAACAAGATAACAGGAACCTTCAGTCGTTATTTCACTCAGTGGCATCAAACACCCCACTCTGTCATCTGCGTCACTAACTTACTGGTGAACCCACGTGGACCCATCGGTAATAACTTAAAGGGGACTTTCTGGCGGAAAAAAAAATGTGCACTCAATTTTAGATGCATTTTAGCGCTCTGGGTTTTCGCAAAAGGGATCACAACAACAACAACAAAAACCTCCGAGCCGTTCTGAATCTACACACATGAATGCAGGCCTCTTCATGCCGTGCGAGTCAAACTTTTTTTTTCTAATCATACTTCACCACGCTGCTCCGGTGTGTGTTGGTAAAGGCAGGACGGAGGGCAGAGGATGGTTTCTGATATCACTCGCCACCGATGTTAACCATTGACAGAAATCGAGCTCGGGTCGTGGCTGGGTCTAACAACGCACTGTGCCAACCACTTTGTAACCCTATTTCATTTTAGGATTACGCACCCTTGTGATACAGAACTGTGGAAAATTATATTAAATTTCTGCATTGCATACTGCTGCATTGCTAACTGTGAATGTGTATCGTTAGTGTATGGCCTTTTTAATACTGCTTAGTATTGATTGAACATTTTTTTTTGTATTTTATTGCATGTATGTATATATGTTGAACTTATTTTGCACCGTACGTAGCCAATAGTGCTAATCGCGGGTGAGTGGGTGGGGGGAAAGACAACAAACTAAACACAAAATCACTTCCAAAGAAGTTCGTTTTCAATGTAAATGTAAAAGTGCATCGCTCCAGAGGTTTCCTAATATCGTAAGGAAGAGCGTCCAGACGTCCTCGGAAGCGCATTTGAACGCACGCGATGCAGTGACCATATAAAGTCCACGTGTACAGTCACATTATTGACACAGATTGAACGATTTACATTCGTAGAGGGCATTTCAATGCCACAGCACCTCGTAGCCGCCTACATTAATCACGTCTCATCTCAACCCATTCCCATTTCAATTGGTCCGGAGCACGCGATGCAGTGGCCGTCTTTGCTCGATGGTCAGCCGAAAGCCGCTGAAAGTTCTCCCTTGACAAGACAGACTTCATTGCCAGTGGCCTCCCGCCTGATTTTTTCAGCTAGCCGATCGATTCTATCGTGCCGGAGAGAACACAGCGCACGAACACTACTCAAATGTCCGCCGAGGCAACGGGTCACGAGCCGTAACGGGGAGCGCGTCTGCTGAGTCTCATTTTCTTCCCCCGTCTTTCTTTCCCCGTTTTGCAGCTGCGACGAGGCATGGAGGACCTCATAAGTGGCAAGATCGTCCCGGCTCTGATGTCGGCTGTCTGACGGGCCGTGACTTTCCCAGTTCCAGCTCGACGCATCGTTGCCAGAGCTTCGCTTGGTATAGTTTAAACATAAAGACCCCAAGTGAACTGTTTATGGAACGCGTTTCCGGACGAGACCACTTAATCACCACACAGGACGAAAATGACTTTGGTGTAGCTGTACAACCACCCTGCGGGCCAGGCAACATGGTATTATCTTCATTCTTGGCCAGGATCGATCCACTGCTGGATGGAGGCCTCCCCAAGCCATCACCGTCTTTCGCGTCCCTTGAGATTCTATCTAGCTGCTGCACAAACACACACACTCACTCATTTGACTGCTCCATCACCGCGCCGACGTTAAACCCCATTGGCTGCCACTCTGTTGTCAATCTTGTCATCCTATCTGCGATGTGTCCTGCCAAAGTCCACTTAATTGTCTCAACAGTCAATACAATGTCTCCGCCTTGCGTGCATTCTTCCATCCGCCTGTTCCCCTTCCTAACTCTCATCGTAAGTCCGAGCAAGCACATGCCTCTCCACGATCCTTCGCCCACTTTTCAGCTTTCATCCCATTTTTCTTCGTCCGCCTCCATGTGTCTGACTTGTGCATCACAGCAGGTGACACGCACACAGCTGATTACGTAGCATTCTCCTTTGGGCACATTGTGAGTTCCTTTGCATTGTTAAGTTCGTGTTTTTACGAAAGCGCTTCTAACCTCGCTCGCATCCTTGTCATCATTGTCTCTGCATTGTCTTAACACCGTCGTTGTGACGTTGTCTTAAAGTGCAGGTGGGGCATTGATCAGGCGATACGGGAGATCTGACCACTACATGGGGGTCATCGATTGTTAAAAGTGGATTCCCATTCCCTGTAGGCTCTCTGCGAATGCCTTGTCAGAGATATCTTGTGTTTGTACATACACATTATGCGGAGCGTTGCTTATTTAACGTAACAATTTGCTTTGCCGTGATTTCATATTTTGCCACGATTCTGTTCAAGAATCCCATTATACCAGATGGCCCACTTGTCAGGAGACATCGGGTTCTTTCATTTATTTTGACACTGGCATTATTTTTTTTATTGTTTATTCTTTAAGCTAATATTATTTCTATTATAATTATTAGTATTTATTTTTCATCTTCCTGTGGGGCCACCTCAAACCCGTCATTAAAAAATCTGGACCGAGAACTGTGAAGGAATTGAGAAAACAGAAGATAATTTATGAATGTAAAAAAAAAAGTCTCGCGTGAATTTCCAAAGAAAATGCATGCATTCATATTCATGGAATTCAGTTTGAACATTTGTTGAAACACATGAAATAACCGTCAGTCATTTGTTAAAATAAATATAACCCTGCGTCCTGACATTTGGAGCACCCTGCTGAAAGTGTTTTGGTTACATTGGTGGTGAACGTAGCACCTCCAGTGACTGTGCGAGCCAATGTGAACCCGTTCCGTACGACGTAGAACCATTGACTCTCACCCGCTTAGTTCGGTGCATTAGCTTGAATATTGGAATGGATTTTCAACAATTGATTGATGTATCCCGACATGCCTTGTGTATATAAACCACTTGTCTCTTTTTTTTACACGTGTCACTTCTGAACACAGTGTTCAAGCCACCGCAGTCAGCGAGCCGAATCGATTTGATAGAAACTTGAGCTACCAATATGTAGATTAATATATTTTTTAAAGGAGGATTTTTTTTTTTTTACATATTCACTTTTGCAAGAGAGGTCGCGGAAACTAAAATTGCTCAATAATTAGTTTTGTTTATATTATAAGAAATATGTATATATGTTGAATTTCTTTCACACAGTACTAGCCAACCATGCTAATAGGAGGTGCGGGGGAAGGACAACAAATTAAACACAAAAAGCAGTTCTAAAGATTTAAAGCTTTCGTGACTGCAGGGATTCATCTTCTTAAGTTCTTTCGGTAAAGTCACGTAGAAGGGAAATAATGAAATAATAAAAATAAAACATAATAAAATAAAAATTCTCACAACGTTTCGGTCACGACACAAGCAGCCGTCCTCAGGCGAAGAAACAGAGCCGTCGGAAAGATAGCGTCCCATTGTGTTGTGGCCGAAACGTCGTGAGAATTTTATTATGGTTTATTATTTTATTATTTCCCTTCTACGTGACTTTACCGAAAGAACCAAGAAGACAGTTCTAAAGAATTGAGTTTTCAGTCAAGATTCAGTGGCTCCCTGATATCGGAAGAAAGAACGTTCCAGAGGTCCGCAGAAGCGCATCTGATGCCCGCGAGATGCAGTGGCCACCGTCTTTGTTGGATGGTTCGCCAAAAAGTGCTGCGGGATGACTGGAGTTTGTGTGATAGTTGCGATGGAATCACCTCGGCAGTCGTGTTGGTTACTGGCTACTTGCTGTTTGTGGCTTTTGGGCCCGTTTTAAAGTTTCAAGTTTAATTTGGTTTAACCGGTTGAGGACGCAAGAGACCCCGGATGAGTCTGATTTTGCAAGAGTCGCGGTTATTTGGCGCTCGTACTGAATCTTTTTTTTATTCCTGATGTAGAATATTACACACGGATGCAATGTTTAGTTTTATTAACATGTGTGCATGCCCCTGTTCACAAAATAGCTGTGTATGCAAATGTTATGAAATATACAAAATATATAAACGCGGTTTGTACAAAATAAATGTTTTATAATCGTGATATGATCAAGATAATTGAACAGACGTTTGGGTGATTAATGACACAAGGATTTGGCTTCAATTACAACATCGACATTGGTCATGTTCTTTTCGCAAGTTTCAAATTAGCAATGTCATTAGATTGTCTTGACAAATCTAGCTAGCATGTCTGCTTACTGCTACAAAACCAAAAATGTCACATCTTAAGTCTTCTAAGGCTGGTGACTTGAATTTTTTTTTTTACCAAATCCATGCCCCATTTTGGTGCTTGCATCGTATTGCCGTTTTACCCCCGCAATTCTATGACCTAAATAGTTTCCGATCCTGGCATGCGTTAGATGACACGCATTGCAGCCCAGTTATTCTGAAGCTGCCATTCACAAAATAATCTACAGCAACAAACCATTCCGCCCACTACCGCCCCCATCCGCTGTTTAACCTCCTTGGTTTGGCGGGTGGCTAGGGCTGACAGGGCCTGCACCCCCCCCCCCCACCTCAAACTTAATCACCGGGCATTAATTCTAGATTTGAAGCTTTCGTGACTGCAAGGATTCATATTCTTAGGTTTTTCGGTAAAGTCACGTAGGTAAAAAAATAAAAGTGAAAGCACAACCGCTTAAGTGCGTCGTGATTTAATTTAGTTTTCATTTATTTTATAAAAAAATTTACCTAGGTGACTTTACCAAAAAAAATAAAGCGTATGAATCCTTGCAGTCACGAAAGCTTCAAATCTAGTATTCAATCTTCCCACCTTATTTGGTCTCCACTCAACAAACAGATAAACAAACAAACAAAAAAATATCCCGATCTTCGTAGCAAATTTTTCGACCCAACCCTACATCATCAATGCGCGTGTCCGTTTACACGCGCATTGATGAACTCCCACGTGGCTTTTTTTTTGCTGCTCGCTGATTCTCACCCTTGGATTGTGTAAATGTGCACAATCTGTAGCGTGACCTTGTTGTAAAGGCGGCTGCGGTGGTGGGGGTGGTAACATAAAAAACGCAGAAAGGGCAAAAAAGTCGATGCTAAATAAACGTTATGGAAATGTTTAATGCTAAGCAGAAGTCACGAGCAACTAAGCGGCTCGGGGCTTGTCTGTCGTGTGCTCTGGTCTGGCTCTCACGCAGACCCCCATCCCCCCTCGCCTACTCCCCACCCTCCGTGTGTGCAAGGAAAAAGCTTCGGCCGCTCATTTGCGAACTCTCCGTCTTCTGTACAGCCAACGGATTGCGCACGGCGGTGTCCTACGATGACGCGAGGCTTGCGGATCACGTGCAGAACGCCCCAACGCATTCGGTGCAGGCGTTGAAGAGTAAACTGCCACCGGCGTTTAACGTCGTACGCAAGATATTTAAAAGCCTTCAGGATGCGGGTGTTGGAATGGGTCGGTCCCCCATCGCTAGCAACTGGGCTGCTCTGTTACGCGCAAACCAATGAAGCGTTCATAATACAGGTCTTTTGTTGTTGTGGGTTTTGGGTTAGATCGCGTAAGTGTAAGTGCGGCGTTAAACCCGCCACAACCCGACACAGCCAAATAGTAAGATTTGTCACGTAAGGGGTCATCCATCTGTCAAAACTTGACCCCTCCCCCCTTCCCTGTACGCACGCGGACTTTTTACCCCCCCCCCAACACCTGCGTACGTACGCCTGACGCACCCACCCCCCAATCCTATAAAACGGCCGATATTTAATCCACGCAGACACTATCAATAATGAATAATATTCACGTGCTTAAGCAAGCAGTCCACCGCCGGACTATCCAACTCGTTTGAAGGCCAATGTAGACACATTATTATCGAGGCTTCACCCCCCCCCCCCCCCCGTTTCCTATGCGTTTTTCAGTAGACCCCCCATACGCAAGCGTTCGCATTTGGGTTAATCCCCCTCCCTCCATGCGGACGTACTAAATGGATGGCCCCCAAACAGAACGTGCCAATAAAGTGTGTTAATGTTTCGCGTGAAGCACAATCAAGAGGGCTACAACTACCGTCAGACGTATGAATGGTGTAGAGTAAAGGAATTAAACTAAGCTAAACAGTTTGTGTTTCTTACCAGGTGAGGCCCACTGAGTTATAATTTGGACAGAAAGCTAAAACATCCGACGATGAAAATATGAGTTGCGGTATTTTGCTCATTGATGTGAGAAAGAGATGGCCATGAGAACAAAAGGTGAAAAAGCAACGTTGGCCAGACGTCGTAAAATCTCGGACGGGGGGCCGGGGGCGATATTAAAGTACGTCTTATTTATAGATGCGGCGCTTACACATCTAGACTGTTTATACATCGATTCGGTTATATCACGCGCCGTGCAGTGTGCATGGACAATGTAACGCACTTGTGTGTGTACATTGTGGCAATAAGCAATGGTGGAAGTGTTTAATGCGTATTTATAAACATTGATTTTGATGGCAGTTGATTTGGTTTATGAAATTCTAACTTTAATGATAACTTTATTAATGTTGTACATGCACAGCCCATTTGCCAATCCACTGCTGGATGAGGGCCTCTCCATGCACCACGTGACACACCTCGCCACGCTGCTCAGTGGTCCATTTTACTAGTAATCATTACCAGACCAACATTTTGTAAAAAAAAGCCAACACTTTTTGACATTGAAGTGGAAAACATTTTCTATTTAACCCGACATATTAATATCACCCTTATTATTCACTCATTTGCATGCGCGGTTCGAATGGTGATTCCGTCGAATTTTGCCGATGACAGCCCTTCGTGCGCACCCTCTGCCTCGAGCTCCTGTTGTGTTGGGGACGTAGGAGCCAATTAGCGTTAATAGGGGATCTTATTATTTGAGTGGTTTCCCGTATGACCGTGTCGGGAGCGATAGCGAAACCGTTAGCGCGACGCTGCGCTAAGATCCCGGCGACCCGAGTTCAATTCCCGCTCACCGCCGACACCGATGACGATGATCTGAATCGGTCCCGGGCCTCCTCTAGGTCGACTCAGCCTCAAATGAGTACGCGGTGCGGTGTGTATACGTCGCCCACTGGGGAGACAAAGGTGGTCGGGCGTGGTGCTGGCCACACACTCCTTGGTGTGCCGTGCCGGCCTTCAATAGGCGCTCGCTAACAGCACTTGCAGCTTCTTGAGTTTAGTTTGCTGCCCCCCCACCCCCACCCGCGCACCTCCGATTAGCACGGTTGGCCGCGTACGGTGCGAAAGAAGTTCAACGTACATCAGGGGCATCTTGCATCACATTGGGATTTTTGCACACAGCGCTGATGTACGGTGCTTTTTATTCTGGAAGATTTTTGTTACTGGTTTTTCTTGGATGTTTCTGTTGCGAAACGTCACTTCAAGATGTTCTTTGTTCATGTTTTTATTTGTTGCGGTTGCGCCCGAGTCAAGAGCCTCATGGCTCACAGGGCTATATACCTAAGAAATGAAACTCCCCCACCCCTCCCTCTCCCCCCTTGCTCCTCCCCCTTTCTTACCTATGTAACCTCTTTCCACGGCAACTCTCTCTCCCACTTCAGCAAAAAAAAATATTGCTATGGTTTTCCCACCTGATGTTGATTGCTTGTGTTGCAATCGAAACGTCGTGATCTGTTATTTTTCTCCCTACGTGACTTTACCGAAAGAACCATAGAGTATGGATCCCTGCAGTCACGAAAACTTTTAATCTAGATTGAAAAACCTTTGTCTTGTGAGGCCCAACTCTGGGAAATGTTTTGCATTCCAGACCAATGGGCAGCGGTACCGGCAAGAGACGAAGCGGCTCTTGCGACCGCCACACACCCACGATGACACCTCGCAAAAGACACCCTCACAATTTCCAACTGTAAGCGAATTCCATGGCACATCTGGGACATTGCGCAGAAGACTTGCAATGGTTTGACTCCGAAGGCCGGGGGCGAACCTGTAATAAAACAGTTGCACGAGTGACGTCAATCCATTACATAGGACGTACATGAATGGAACATCATCGGTTGCATATGGCACTTGCTTCGATGTGTGCGCCGTTTTAGAACCAATAATTGGGCTGCGATGTATCGGTTCAATAATTATGAAATGATACATCGATACACCCCTAAACGATCACCGTCCAATCGCAATTCTCCGCTATGAGCCTGTTCATGCATTTTCAGATTGGTTTAGTCTCTACAGGTTTTGGTTGTGGGGGAGTTGTAGATAATCAGAACATTGGAAAGCAGACAAGTGACAAATTCTGTACTGGATTGGACTTATTTTAAATAAACCGACCATCGAAATCGTAAACGTTCGAGGACTCTGCTGGATGCATAGAAGGCAGAGCCAGCACTGGGGTGGGTGGGCTGGGCCCTGCATCAACAAATGCCCCTCCAAGTTCACTCTCCTAGTTGAATCACTATCACGGTGACCCCCCCCCCCCCCACACAACAGATCTGCAATCCCCATCTCCCCACCATGAGCTGGTGTGATGAAGTCCGTCAGATTAAACATTCTGCAATAGTTGTTCGTTAGAATTGGCTCATTGGCCGTAAGCATAGACGGGAGTTGTGTAATCGTGAACTCTTTAACGATTTGTAAAATAAAAATTCGAGAGAGAGAAAAGTTTTGCCGGCTGGCTGACTGACTGGCTGACCCGCGGAGATGATGACGTCACCGCGCAAGCCTGCGTGATGACGTCACCCGCATTCCACAGCGTTGAAGCCGGGTCCGTGCGTGCGTACGTCACTCAACCCTCCCACCCTCCACATCGGCGGTGCGTGAATGCGTGGGCAGTGCTGGTGTGTAAAAATAAGACACGTACACGAATTCCATGCGAATATAAAATAAACAAGCCTTTATTAACATTTTACGTAGCATTTATAGTCATGTAAAAAATATATATTGCATTTATATAAAAAATATATTCATCTAGTATTTACAAAAGTGCTTACAACGTGCTTTAAATAATTTAGAATACAATAACTTAGTTTTACCGTTAAAGCCCCAGCGTTTAAACCCCCATACATCCATTTCCATTGCCGTTCTCCAAGACTCTTAACCCCTCTCAATTGAGTTTAAAAAACACACATTTAGAACATTAAAGTGCAAGTGTAGAGAGAAGTTTTGAGCCAAGAGTGATCATAGCAAAGGTCCGATCAAATGTTAATTTATTTTCCTAAAATCATTCCCCCCCCCCCACACCCCTTCCCCGTATGCAGTGGCTCAGTTAAACAAGACCGTGGGGAAAAAAACGATCTTGCTTTTAGACTCGGACATGAAGTTGTGGAATAGATCTTGGATTTCAGAGGGTTACTTTTGAAAGTTTTGTTAAAGTGCCCAAATTCAGCACGCTATAATGAAACGTTCATGAAGAGAAAGATCAAGGGTAGAACATATTAAGAGAGGATATACCCTTCCTATCATGAAAGAAAATTATCCAAGTCAGGTGCAAAGAAAATATTCTTGAAAATTAGGTTTGCCATTTGTGAGCAACCAATTTGGTTAAGTACGAATCTGGAAACAAGAAGAGTTTATGTTTTT